ATAAAATGGTAGAGAAGAAGAGAATACATTATTCAGAAAAAAGGCTCCCATACAGTTTCACAGTTTGGCTGATCCTTTAAGTAGTTAAAAAGATTGCTTACCCAGAAAAAAACCCACATGCCAAAATCTCAACAAAATATTTAGCTAAAATGAAGAATCTGTGAGATCACAAGTTTAACAGTGTATTTAAGGAATCTCTCACATCCATCTGTTCAGCTGTGTAAGTATGCAGGAATTAAACCTTGCATGGTGTTTTTATACACGTAGTGTTACACACAAGTCCTTTCCAAATCCCAAATGATCACTTTTCAGTTCCATGGCTCTGGGGGAGGAGAACATCTAAGGCTGTTGAATTCCATGCCTTAAATTTTGTTGTTGAAAGAGAGAATCAAGAGAAGCAGCTTCTCTAAAGCAGTTTCTCTCTTTACTATGCTCAATGGACCTTGTGACTTGTGAGACACTAACAGTGCCCCTTGTTCAAGATGTAAATTATACTCTCTAGTCTGAAACATGTCCCAATCAATTTTTTGGTAATACTTTTTTTTTTTTTTAAGTGGTGCTTTGTCAATGATGAATAAACACTTAATAGAACATCAGTAACCTATCAACAACAAGTCAGTGAATTAGCAGTAGTGAAGCATCTGAATACATTAAAGTAAATATTTTGAAGATGTACTGTTGATACATTACTTACATTAAGTGGATGTATTGTTGATGTGTTACATGAAGTAGACTTAGTGTGTTATTCCATTAAGCAAAACCAAAGCTTACCCAACCATACGCAAATCCTAACCCTCACTCTGGCCCTAATCCTAAACCTAACTTTAACCTCACCCCAAAACGTAATCCTAACCTTCACTCTGGCCCTAATCCTAAACCTAACTTTAACCTCAACCCAAAACCTAATCCTAACCTTCACTCTGACCCTAATCCTAACCCTAACTTCACCCAAAACCTAGTCCAGTTAAACTCCAAACCCAAGCTGGACAACAAATTGGAGCTGAATAACACTCAGGATGTGCAGACAGGTTTAAAAGACATTACTGGCGTCAACCACCGGAGCCCTAATCCAGCAGATGTTAAGCGTAAATGGGAGAATGGGTCAAACCAATTCTTTGTACGATTTGACAAAGGTTCCTCTCCAGCTCTATTGTCTCAGTGCCATTGACCATTTACAGCCTCCCCATTCTCGACCACAACCATTTAAACCTATGACCACCAGCAACCGCTGTCTGTAACATACACCCACAATTGGAATGACCAGTGATAGTACATTCGCTGCTGATCAGGTGAAGAATGAATTGAAAAAACTCAAACAGAACAAAGCAGCAGGGCCTGATGGCATTGAATCTAGGGAGGGGAGTAACTGTGTGGAATTCTTCAGCACATCTTTAATCTGAGCTGCAGCTTGAAAAGAGTCCCAATTATGTGAAAGACATCTTATGTGGTTCCAGTCCCCAAGAAAAGGCAACTGATAGCACTAATTAACTATCGACCTGTTGCACTGACATCACACTCAGTGAAGACACCTGAAAAGCTAATACTAGATCATCTGAGACCTCTGGTCAAACCAGCTCTTGACTCTTTGCAGCTTGCATATCAGGATGGCACTGGAGTGGATGACATGGTTATCTTCCTTCTGGACAGAACACACCTTACTTGGACATCTCAGGCAGCACTGTGAGGTTCATGTTCTTCAATTTCTCCAGTGTGTCCAACACCATACAGCCAGTGCTGTTAGGGAAGAAGCTTCAGCTGATGCAGGTGGATGAATCTATCATCTCATGGACAACTGACTATCTTATTAGACAACCTCAGTATGTGCGACAGCCTTGCAGTTTGGAACTGTAACACTCACACACTGTATACAAGAAAGGCCACCTGTACATCTTGCTGAGGTCTTTTGGTATGCGCACTTAGCTCCTATGGACATTCTACCAGTCTGTTGCAGTGAGTGCTTTATTCTATGCTGTTGTATGCTGGGGCAGCAGCATTAACAGAAGTGCTCTGAACAAATTGAAGAAACTTCACTAGACTCTGGAGGCTGTGGTAGAACAAAGGACTCTCAATAAGCTGTTAGCCATCTTGGACAATACTTCAAACCCTGCATACTATGCTGGAAAAACAGAAAGGCACACTGAGTGGCAGACTTACAGAGTTTCAACTGCACTGTGTTGAAGAGCGCCATGTGAGATCTTTTCTCCCCCCTCCACTGCAATTAGGATCTACAACGAGTCTTCCTACAGCAAACACGGTACTGATCTCCTGATGTCTCAACTGCATATCACTGGAACACCTCTTTTGTAATATGTGGGCCGCTTTTGGCTCAAATTTATTTTGCCAGTGGGCGGCACTGCAGCATCACTGCTAGAAGTGGACCATATCTGTTTTGGGACATGTGGGCCATTTAAGGTTTTTATTTATTTATTTATATATATATATTTTTTTAACACATGGGCTGCTTAGCTCAGTTTGCCAGTGGGCAGCTGTGCCATATCTCTGCTAGAAGTGAACCAGATCTGTCTTGGGACATGTGGACCATATGAGTTTTTTTTTCTATGTGGGCCACATTTGGTTCACATTCAGTTTGCCAGTAGGTAACACTGCCATATCTCTGCCGAGAGTGGACCAGACCCGTTTTGCAAAATGGGTCAATTATTTTTTTTTTACATGTGGGCCACTTTTAGGTCACAGTTTGCCTGTAGGTAGCACTGCTGTGCCAGAAGTGGACCGGGTATGTGGGATTTTTTTACATGTGGACCACTTTTGGCTCACATTCATTTTGCCAGTAGTTAGCAGTGCCATGTCTCTACCACAAGTGGACCAGATCTGTTTTGGGACGTGTGGGCTCGCGGCACTTTCACATTTGGGATGAAGACCCAAATAGCAAGCACCTATCGCTCCACTGGCATGATAAGGTTGGTACCACGCTGACTGTTTGCTACTGCTTGTGCACCCTCGGACCACCTAGATTATTATCCTGCATACAAGCTCTAGCTAGATTGTATTCTCCTCAAACAAATTTACATGAACACAGTCTTTTATTTTAGAAAATAAACATACACAAATATTACTAACGACTGACACAAAAAAATATAATGACTAGACCCTATTACATATTGTTACTGACACTATGCTAGTGTCACGCTTCCCTCCGTTCCTGCTGTCTCTGCGTCCCAGCCTCTGAATTCCATTACCCAGAACCCCACTCCGGATCACATGACCACCGATCTCCCTCACCTGACTCTCCAACACTCTGCCTCGCCTCACTACTGATTACACACACATGTTCCTTGTTCTAAGGACATGTTAGAGTAGTATACAAGCCCAGGTTTTAGCTTAGTCATCTTGCGAAGTATTGCCTTTGTTCACAGAGCCTTACCGAGCCTTCTATTTGATTATTTATTGCTTTGATTGTTCTTCAACCTTGCCTTTTTGCCTTGCCCTTTCAGTATTGTTGCGCCTGCTGGTTGGACTCTGTTTCTGTTTTTGGACATTGCTTTTTGAACCCCCCTCATGGTTACTGTTTTTGTGTATTGGCTTTTGACCTTGGACTGTCTGACTTTGATTTCAGATTCTCCCTTTGTCAATAATCTCTATTTACTTAAACGTGGTCTGCAAGCATCTGAATTGTGTCTGAGACTCACAGCTAGATTAAAACAGTTTACTAAACTACATTAAAAAGCATAACTAAAGAAAGGAAGAAAGAGAAAAAAAGTAATGTGGGCTGTAATTGTAAAATGAGCGATGATAAGTGGATTTTTGTCTAATACTCTGATTAACCATGCATAGATCCCCTGGAAAATGATGAGCATGCTGCCAGTTGACTGCCAGTTTTGCCTGCAAAGCTGCAATCCCACCTCAGATAACCTTACAGTAGAGGGCCGCCTTAAAGAGCTTATCACTACAAAATTCATCTGCAAGCTAAGGAGGTAATGGTGACCTAAAATCTTTTGACTTGTGATATGAAAATGTATGACACCACACATCATGGCTTCCAGTTGGATGGTATGTCAAATATAATAACTGCAGTTTCTGAGTGTCCTTGCTTTTTCCATACTCTAATATTTCACATTATATTATGACTTGCAGAGACTAACTAATTATACACGTCTCTCAGCTTTTCCATCAGGGTCCCATTTGTATATCAGAGTCAAAATCATTGATGCATTTGGTCAGTGGTAGTGCTTTGTAAAGAGAGTAAATCTATGTGAGATGGTTTTTATTCCATTTGAATAATGTCCCTAAAATGTGTTTACAAGTGAAATGGACTAACGACATTACACTAGATAAAATGAGTAAAATATTTGATAAGTAAAAAATATCTAGAAACAACTTTTTGTTACTGCCGAGTTTATCTCTTGAGATTGCTCGTGTACTTGTGCTAAATTCACTTAAATATATAGACACTCAGTGTTACAATAGCTGCAATTTTTACTAAAGATGCATTTATTTGGAGATGTGCATCACTGTTATTTGCCATTAGCAGTGGAGAACGGACTTTCTGCTGAGTGCGCTGACTCAGTACTATTTTGTATAAATATACAATGGCTTAATGTTCTATTAGTTGATCTTTGCCTTTACTGCAAGTTAAAGCTGCAAAAGTTAATTTCTTATTACTTGAGAAAAAAGAAACAAAACAACACTCTTAAGTTTGTCTACTGAATTGTGCTTTTTACCAATGCATCTGTTACCAAATAACTCTAGGGCCCTGAAAAACATATTTTATGAAGTTTTCCAAGAAGAAGAACATCACAATACTGAACAAACATGAATTTCATATTTTAAAACCTGCAATGTGTTGGCACTGGTTTAAATTATGATGTGTTCATGGGTACTAAATACTAAAAAGACTCTAGCTTTAAAAAGAGTGATGAATATAAGAACATTTCAAAACATGTTATTTTCATTGGTCCCATAATCATAAAATGTCACTCTTGGACAAAGACAACAAAGAACAAAAGAGTACCTATAAATGAACTATAGCCAAAATCAATTTCTTACTTCAGTTGTCTTTTCACTCTATCGAGTTTGTTTTTCTGTTTTGTTGGGGAAACCTTCTTACGGATAAAGAAAATAAGATTCTGTTGAATTTCTTTTGTTTTCAGTCCATATATTAGAGGATTAATTATAGGAGGAAATATCATCACAGAAGCTCCTAAGGCCCTTCGTAGGTTTTGGGGTGCTGACTCAAATCTGTGAGCTATCACGGCAAAGAGTGTGGTGAATTCAAAACAAAGGAAAACAATTAAATGTGTACCACAGGTCTGAATTGCCTTGCTTTTGGCATCAGATTGTCTTTTAACCACAACAGTGATTAAGATTTGCATGTATGTTAATACCACTATCAGCAGAGGCAGACCTTGGATAAAAGCTATTACAAACAGTCCATAGTAGTTATTTAACTTTGTATCTCCACATACCAGCTTCATCAAAGACGGATTATTGCAGAAAATGTCCACTATTTTTGTGCTACAAATCTGTCTGCGGTAGTTCAGCGCAAGTAGTAAACCAATCAAAGTGAAATCTAAGGTCCACATTATTATTATTATTTTCAGCAAGTTATTTGGAGACATCAAGGTGTTATATTTCAATGGACAACAAATGGCAACGTATCTGTCATAAGCCATAGCACTGAGAGTGAGAAATGCTCCAGCTGCATACAGATGTGTCAGTAAAGCTTGCACAAAACAAGCAGAGTAAGTGATGGATCTATTCTGTGACAGTAAACTAGATACCAGCTGAGGAAAAAAGGCTGAGGCACCCATCATATCATTGAGTGGCAAGTTAAACAACAGAATATACATAGGCTTATGGAGTTTCCTGTTCAGAGCAATTGTTAGTAACACAGTCATATTGAAAAACAAAATGGTGCAGTAAGTGAGAGTTCCAAATATGAATGCTGGAAAAATATTAGGTGGTAGTATTTCCAGTGATTCCATCATCAAAGTTGTTGTATATATGGAATAATTAAAATCCATTATGTTTATGTTTTATTTTATAAAATGGTAGAGAACAAAAGAATCAATTATTCAGAAAATACAGTTTCACAGTTTGGCTGATCCTTTAAGTAGTTAAAAAGATTGCTTACCCAGAAAAAAACCCACATGCCAAAATCTCAACAAAATAATTAGCTAAAATGAAGAATCTGTGAGATCACAAGTTTAACAGTGTATTTAAGGAAACTCTCACATGTCCATCTGTTCAGCTGCGTAAATATGCAGGCATTAAGCCTTGCATGGTATTTTTATACACTTTTTTATACACACAAGTCCTTTCCAAATCCCAAATGATCACTTTTCAGTTCCATGGCTCTGGGGGAGGAGCCCATCTAAGGCTGTTGAATTCCATGCCTTAAATTTTGTTGTTGAAAGAGAGAATCAAGAGAAGCAGCTTCTCTAAAGCAGTTTCTCTCTTTACTATGCTCAATGGACCTTGTGACTTGTGAGACACTAGCAGTGCCCCTTGTTCAAGATGTAAATTATACTCTCTAGTCTGAAACATGTCCCAATCAATTTTTTGGTAATACTCAGTGGTGCTTTGTCAATGATGAATAAACATTTAATAGAACATCAGTAACCTATCAACAACAAGTCAGTGAATTAGCAGTAGTGAAGCATCTGAATACATTAAAGTAAATATTTTAAAAGATGTACTGTTGATACATTACTTACATTAAGTGGATGTATTGTTGATGTGTTACATGAAGTAGACTTAGTGTGTTATTCCATTAAGCAAAACCAAAGCTTACCCAACCTTACACAAATCCTAACCCTCCCCCTGGCCCTAATCCTCAACCTAACCTTACCTTCAACCTAAAACCTAATTCTAACCCTCACTCTGGCCCTAATCCTAAACCTAACTTTAACCTCACCCCAAAACGTAATCCTAACCTTCACTCTGTTGTGTTGAAGAGCGCCATGTGAGATCTTTTCTCCCCCCTCCACTGCAATTAGGATCTACAACGAGTCTTCCTACAGCAAAAACGTTACTGATCTCCTGATGTCTGAACTGCATATCACTGGAACACCTCTTTTGTAATATGTGGGCCTCTTTTGGCTCAAATTTATTTTTCCAGTGGGCGGCACTGCAGCATCACTGCTAGAAGTGGACCATATCTGTTTTTGGGACATGTGGGCCATTTAAGGTTTTTATATATATATATATATATATATATATATATATATATATATATATATATGTAACGGTATGTGTTACTGGAGAGCTCGCATTAAAAGGATGGACACACAGAAAACGGCTGACTCAATGGCTTCCCTCTCTGCCTGTGTCTTTATTGTGCCTGCATACACACATACACAATCCGTTTCAACATTATGTTTGCTGCAACTGCCCATAGCTCTCCAGCATAGTGCAAAGCGCTGCTGGGGGTAAGTACTAGTACACATTTGCTCATGAAAATAAAATAAAGTAAAAACAATATACAGCTTAGCTAGTACATTTAGTTATGTGATCGTATAGTGGACGAACTGTAGCTAGCACAGAGAGGGATTCCGAAGCTTCACAGAACACACAATACATTTTTACAACCAATTCCAAGATAAAATGACTACAACATACCTGCATACACACATACACAATCCCTTTCAACATTATGTTTGCTGCAACTGCCCATAGCTCTATAAAAGTGAGAAAGGGAAAGGAAAACAGAAGTTTAAACACATTGTCTAGCTCATTCCCCAAATGGCGCCAAAAACCGATGCCGTCTGCATAGAACACCGCCGGTACTTCCATCGGGAATTAAAGTATTAAATTCGGTTAAATATGCGCTAACATGTCCATAACGCAGCACATAAACGCTATGACTGTTATTACAGATGATGCTTGCAAACATTCATCTCAGAAGTACATATAGCTTCATAAAATATGAGATTATTCACAGAGCTTTTTCTATACAACTTACCTCCAGCATAGTGCAAAGCGCTGCTGGGGGTAAGGGAAGCGCGAAGGGACAAAATTAACAGAAAACGTGAGCTTTGGCAGTTGCACGCATGTCAGCAGGGAATTGTAGTCCAAACTAGCACATTGAACTTGTATGTAGTATTAACATAGCAAGAATCAGTATGTGAAAAATGAAATATAAAACAACAATTTAGCTCAAAGTAACAAGAAATATATAACAAAAATGATTTCTTACGAACAATAATTTTGGAAGAATTCACACAACTAAGGACTACAATTATTATTATTATTATTAATTCTTTTCTTTTTGTTTTAGCTCTGTTACACCCACCCCCACTGAATTCTGACAAAATTATGTATACACCGGAACAATCAGTATACAAGATTTCACACTGTTTGGGTTCTGCAATTGGGAAGACCGACTTCCGCAAGTATCCAATAAGGATGAAGTGGAAAGAGAGTGACGTCAAGCTCTCCAACCAACTACCGGTTGCAGGATGCCTTTTACACCCCACACTAACCCATAACTTCCATAACTCCTAAACATTACAAATCGCTAAATGTACATACGTGTCCATCGTGCACAGTAAAGCAAAAGAATAAAAGAAGCACTCAGAAATAAACTGTACATCAATAGAAACATAAATAAACCCCAAAAACTTTCCTTTTATTAAGCCCGAAGAGCCTGAACAAATGACCTGTAAACTGACTGAACATTCTGCTGTAAAGTTTTAGTAACATCCTGTCTTGACATAGTGTAAAGAAGTCTGTTAACAGGTCGAATAGAACGACCCACCCTTGTCCTGAAATGTACGACAGGATCAGAATTTTGTATGTGATTGTCTGTGCGTGTCCTGTCAGTATGCTGGACCCCACTAACACTGTCAGTCTGAACTGATGCAACATTAGGACAGTCAGATCCAGGTAAACTGACATAATCATGAACAATCTCATTGTCACGTCTAGGGTAGGGAATTTCAGGGCCAGTGTTGTCTACTGCTCTGATAGATGCTGTATCATCAGTCAAGTGAGTCAGTGGACTAGTGAGGTTTCCTTCACAAGGAGTTGAGTGTTGCCCATCAGTAGGAAGCTGTAAAATCCACTCCTTGGTTCTCGTTTCTGGATCTGATTTGGCAGGGGTAGGTAAAACATTCGCATCATTGCTGTCTTGGCCACAAAACACATCTAGTGCATGCAGCGATTCATCAGGGACTAATGCTTTGTCATCCGAATTGTGGCTGACTTCAACCTGTCCATCACTTTGAGATAAGCAGGTTTCCAGCTCGATTTGGGGTGATCCATCTGCCAGTACATCACTATCACCAGAGTCAGCAGAGAGCTCAGTGGATACAAAGGATGCAGGATGTGAGGTCGCTTGTGCACCTTTAATAGGTAAGAAATTAACCAACATGAGAAGGTTCCGATGGACTGTTCTCTCTAGGCCAGTAAGAGTGTTGCGTATTTTATATGTATGTGTTCCAGCATTCTTGTCAATGACCGTGTAGACTGCTGATTCCCACCTGTCAGCTACTTTCCTTTTTCCTCTTTCTTTTTTATTGGCAACAAGCACACGGTCACCAATTTCGATTGTTGTTCCCTTTACTCTCCTGTTATATAGTTTGGCCTGTCTGTTCTGCTCTTTGTTTGCATGTTCCTGAGCAATCAGAATTGCCCTTTTTAAGTCTTCAGACAGCCCTGCCACATATTTGTCATAGCTGGTTACGTCAGGATCATTCAGAATGTTCCTAAACAAGATGTCTACTGGAAGACGGGGGATTCTGCCATGCATTAGGTAAAAAGGGGCATAACCCGTTGTTTCATGAACTGTACAATTGTACATGAATGTGAGCGTTTGTAAATGCCTAGGCCAATACATTTTCGCCTCCGGAGACAGAGCCCTTATCATGTTGCCGAGTGTTCTATTGAAACGCTCAACAGAGCCATTCCCCATCGGATGATACGGGGTTGTATGTGATTTCTTGATACCAGCTGTTCTGAGGAGCTCAGCAATCAGTTCACTCTCAAAATTTGGTCCCTGATCACTGTGGATCCTCTCAGGGAATCCATAGACACAAAAATACTTGTCCCAGAGAACTTTTGCCACTTGTTTTGCAGATTGGTCTTTGCAAGTGAAGGCCTGAGCCAGCCTGGAAAAATGGTCAGTTGTGACTAAAACGTCAACTGACTTATTATGCGAGTCTTCAGCTGACCAAAAGTCAATGCACACAAGCTCCAGTGGCCTAGAAGTGACAATACTTTCTAATGGCGCTCTACCATCAGGCTCTAGCACCTTGCTCACAATACAGCGTTGACAGTGGCGGACATGGTCCCTAACATCTCTGTCCATGTGTAGCCAAAAAAATCTCTGTCTGACAATGCTGAGTGTCCTTGACTGGCCCTGATGGCCAGCACTTTCATGAACCCCTTTTAAAACTGTGTCTTTAAGAGACTCAGGAACAACATACTGATGTCGTTTGACTTTCGAAGTCTGATCATGAGAGACTCTGTACAGGATACCACTGCGCAATACAAGCTTCTCCCAATATTTCAAGAATCTTAAAACTTGGGCTGTCTCTTTAAATTTCTCTCTCCTAGAAGGTCTACGGCCTCTTTCTACATAAAACAGCACACGTGAAAGGGTACTGTCTTGGCATTGTGCATCACGCAAATCTTTTTCAGAATAACTAGGCAGGTTATCTATTCCATCAGGGATGAGTTGAGGGAGATGGTGTGCCATTTCCACTGCACGGGTTTTTGCTCCTAGTTCCCAATCATTGTGAGATTGTAAAATAGCTGACACTTCTTTCATTGCAACTGTCTGAGGCAACGGATGAACTGAATGGTCATGTACAGACTGGACATGCTGGATGGAGACATTAGGTTGTCCAGTACATGTATGCGCTGTACTTGCACTCACAACTGTATCGGTCGATAACCGAAATGTTTCTTCCACTGATGTGCCAGACAATTCTTTGACTTCACTAAGGAGCTTATCATATGGTTCGCTGAGCAGCCTGTAACCAACACTTGATTTGATGAAAGGCACACGACTTAAGGCATC